GTAACGTGCACCACCAGCACCCAAAACACCAGTCCCCCAACCCACCCTACCCTCAGGCAGCGAAAAGTGTAGGGACTCCCTGGGACACAGACATCGATTAAAACCTGACAGAGGTTCCAACCCCTAACCATTCTATCCAGAACTAGAAAAAAAAGGTTTTGCTTGGAGTACCACTTTAAAGTGAGCCTGTAAAATCAAAATATTAAAGCAGTATAACCCCTATGAAAACTTCCTGCCTCTCTGCTGGCTACTAAAGCTTTTTTAAAGGTGATGGGGTTGCATTGTATGAAAATCATGTGCAGGTGAAGTAAATAATGAGGAATTTGCTTTTAATGTAATTGGATAATTGAAGTGAATTATTACCCTTTCTCTGAGTCAACATTCTCAACTCCTTTAGGACCCTTTCACATGAGCAGCATTCGTTCCGATATGTGCACAGATCACCTCCTGAATGAGTAATATTTAATAGATGTCACACTTTTGACATCTGTGTCCATTCAGTTTTATCTTGCAATGAAGGAAAAAAAAATTAACTAAACTAGCCCATGTTAGGTCTACGGGGAGTCAGATATAAGTCCATTTACATCCGATTACCTCTGACCTGTCCCATTCAGACCCGCCAAAATGAAACTGCTTCTGCTTTTTTTCATACCTAGATGGACTAAGCGATAATCAGATGTAAACAGACGCAGGGCAGTATACCTCTGCTGACCCACAGACTAACAGTGAGAATCCAATCAGGTCAGCCTGAAAAAAAGACAGACAGACCTGTCTAGAATGCCATGTGAAAGGTCCATTAGTATATTAGTCTCAGTATGCTGTGAATTACTCCTAGGTTTGGGGCTAACCAAGCTCACAGGATAAGCATCTCTTGGAAAATAACATTGACATCTAATGGTACCAGCACTAAGGCTTTATTCACACCTAGGCGACAGCGCATCAGTGCAGAATACACGCTTTTTTTTGCACACATGTTTTCATTCACGTATATTAAGTCACGTGTGTTTTTGTGAGCATATTTTGACATATTAATGTATATGGGAAGAGCGCAAAAACGTGCCCAAAAAATGTGCTTGCTCCTTTTCTTGCCCTCCCAGGATCAAGGGTCTGGTTGGGAATTTTAGGGGGGACCCCACGTCTGGTTTTTTTGGGGGCGTGGGGAGTTCCTCTTTTAAATTTCTACCAGACCTTAAGGGTCTGGTATTGTTTGGGAGGGGGAACCTGACACTTTTTTTTTTTCATAAATGTCACTTTTTGCTGCAGCAGGTTCTATACATCGTACAAATGCGCCACTTTACAGGCAGATTAAGGGGATCCCCCAGGCACGATATTTAAAGGAATTTTTCATTTGTATTGTTTCACTTTAAGCAATGTTAAAAATCATTGCTCCTTTAAAAACGGTATTTTTTAAAAGTGTTTTTTTCTTTGATACATGTCCCCCAGGGCAGTATCTGAATCCCCATACCCTGTTTTATCTGAATCCCCATACCCTGTTTATGGCTAAAAACTTGCATTATAAGCCTTCAAAAAGGGGATATTTTATTTTCAGAGTTCTAGTCCCATAGACTTTCATTGAGTTTGAAGTTCAAGCTCAAACTTTTTCCATGTTCTAAAATTCGAACTCGAACCGTACTCGGGTGTGTTCGGCCCATCACTAAACTTCACCAGCATGGGGTTAAACCTGCTGGGTTGGGCCCAAATAACATATTCATCCACCCATCGAATCCAGCATTGTGTTGCTGCCAACCGCCAATCCTACGCCACATGCCGTGACCTGCGTGGATATTCCAGGAGGTTGCTGGAGCAGGGTACACGTCATTCTCGCCTAGACAGGAATGGAGGGAGGCAGGCAGGCTAGACTAAAAGACTAAAAAAGAAAAAGAGAAATGTATCAAGTTGTATGACTGCGGAGGGGAGTAGGGTTCAAAAGATCCAAAGTGCTTTAGGAGAGTTAAAGTCTTTAAAGTATTATAATAGCTTTTCATTTAGAATAAAACCAGGTTCCCCTTCATACAATTGAATTCTTTTATCATGTAACATTCATTGTAAACTAACAGCTTCAACTCAAGACTAAACTAACAGCAAATATAATACTTTCCCCAATTTATAACTATTGTTTTCCAAGGTCTGTTCAAACCTACAGCAATATTATAAATTTCTTGTTGTAAAACAGTATATGAAACTTGCTATCTTTATAGTCTCACTATATTGTAGGACTTGTACCAAGACAAGTCTGGAAAATGGTAACATATATAATTTTATTGCCATTTTTCTATTACTGAGCTGTAACTGATGTACTGTAATATACCTGTTTCCACTCTTTGGATCCAGACACTAAATTGTAAGGACACTCACTGAATGCTCCTCTTATATCCAGGCTCAGGTTCTTCTGCTGATCATACTGCTCATTGCCATTGCCAACTTCTTCATCGGAACCGTTATTCCTACTACAGAGGAAAAGAGGTCACGAGGATTCTTTAATTACCAAGGTGAACTACAACTGAATATATTTTGTATTTGAAAAACATCTGGTATGAAAATTGTGTGCTAAAAACATACTGTTGGATGCTTGGTAAATCATCATCATTATAAAACCTATAGGAATTTAGGAATTTCAAAAAAACCAGCGTATAGCCGGGCAGATGCCGTTAGCGCGGCGCTGGTGCTCCTAGATGGCGCTGACAAGTATAGGAAATTCCTATATTCCTATATAATTAAAGATAAACTCTGAACAACATTTTTATTAACCCTTGCAGTGGAGCTATCCCTGCCCTGCAAGGGTTAACTGCTCATTTTGGTCTAGGGAAGAAAATTAAAAAGTTATACTCACCTGATCCTCCAAACCAGCCTGCTCTTGGACCAGTCCCTTCCGCCTTGCTTCCCCTCTGCTCCAGCATTCTAAGGTTCCTGAATCATCACGTTCTATGCACTTCTATGTGTATAAGACGTGAGGATGCCGAGGGACATACCCATTGCTACAGACAGGCAGGAGGGAGTGCTGTGACAGCCAGCCGGCTATGAGTTTTGGGTGAGTATACATTTATATTACTCCCTAGATAAAAACGAGCAGTTAACCCTTGCAGTGTGGTGGGTAGCCCCACTACAAGGGTTAATACAAATGTTGCCTGGAGTTCTTTAACTTACTGTATTGGAATTGCACAGTAAACCTAACAAGTGACTGTTATGTCTACTCTACCTCGCTGCTTCCACTACTTATTACCGATCACTGTCTTTTATTCATCCCTTCCATGTGTGAAGGTTACAAAGTAATAAACCTGTACTCCTCGTTTACAGCTGCAATATTTGCTGAAAACTTTGGACCGGACTTCAGGAGTGGAGAAGGCTTCTTCTCTGTTTTTGCTATTTTTTTCCCGGCAGCTACTGGAATTCTGGCTGGAGCAAATATTTCAGGAGACTTGAAGGTACCTTAACTTGGTCTGTTCTATACAGGTACAGATTTGTAAAATGCAAGAGGGGCAGCAGGCTTTTCCTTTACTGTAATACATTTGTTTTATTTAAACACCTGCAAGGTAGAAAGAATAAGGAAGAATTATTTATTTACATGGCGGCACACTTTATTTAATATGTGGTACAGAAAATTGTGCAGAAGCCAATATTTGTGGCCAAAGTAGGAAGGGGCAGTAAAATGCCAGACGGAGACCTATTACAATAATGTTGGCAGAGTAGACACATATGGCCAAGCAATATCTTACTTACAGCAAAAGCACTATGCACATTTTCAGTTCTTGTTTATTGATTTTTATTCCCATTATTGTTTATTTTTGTCAGGATCCTCAAGGCGCTATACCCAAGGGAACCATGCTTGCCATCATTATCACAACTATTGCATATCTGGCGGTAGCTATATGTGCAGGTGAGTGTCAGCCAACGGGTGTGTGTGACGTGGTCAGTTCGCCGTGTTACTGATATTTATAAGAAAAGTTACTTATAAACATACCACGTTACCTGGTATGTGTTCGCTCACCTCCCGATCTACTGAGCCGACCTGTGACAGTCTCATTGTCACAGGTCGGCTAGAACTATGAGGTGAGATGGTGTGCTATTATTCTGGAAACCAGAGGATAACTGCCATTGGTGAAGAACCTCATGTGTTTTTCATATAATATATACTGTACATTGTGTTCTCTCCTGTTCCTATATAGCACAGGTAGAGTTTAATACAAGATCATGAGCAAACTTTGCAGGTTGTCTGCTTCTAAAATGTCTCTGTGCGGACACACTTAGAGGTGTATTTATAAACAAGACCCATTGGTCCTGCGAAATTGTACATACATTTGTTCTGTGCAAATAGAGGCCAAAACAAATGTTATTGGCATATTTTTTCAAGATCAAATGTAATTTCAGTTAAATATTGCTTTATGGCCACTAGATGGAGGTGAGGAGCACAAGAAAGAAGTACCGTATTTTTCTGTGTATAAGACGCTACTTTTTCATAAAAATGTTTACCTAAAAATAGAGGGGCGTCTTATACACGGGGGCCGAGTGGAGAACCGCGGTTGCGAAACTGCCGAAAGTGCCAACACCACAAACTAGCCTCACGAGTGAAACTTTCGGATTGCAGAGACAAGATAAGTTTTCCCCCAATCATTAATCTTTTGTACCTGACGTCAGCTGTTGCTGGGGAGAGTGGAGGCAAACTGTTATCTTGGCTATGTAATCCGCTCTCCCCAGCAACAGCTGATGTCAGGTACAAAAGATTTATGATTGGAGGAAAACTGTTATCTTGTCTCTGTAATCCGATCATGAATCTTTTGTACCTGACGTCAGCTGTTGCTGGGGAGAGCGTGTAGCCAGTGCCCAGAGCGGTAATGGCGGAGCATAAAGTGATTGACTCAGAGGTAAGTGTGATGCATTATATCATTTAAAATATTGATTTCTGAATTTTGGGTAAGAAAAGTTGGGAGCGTCTTATACATGGGGGCGTCTTATAGACGGAAAAATACGGTATTTTTCTATGTGTTGAAGTATACTTGCCTTTGTAGCTCCAATATGATAATTCAGTGTAGCAAACTTCCTCTGGTCATCCTCTCCGATCACAGTTCTTGTGTTTGGGTGTTGAAGGGACCAACCGGTGGAATTTTACTGTAATAAACCTTTGTATTTAATTTTAAACAGTTGACCCCATTATGTTTGATCCAAAGCAAAATGCAGGTCTTTCATCTTCGCATTACTTAGCTCAGCAAACAAAATTCAATCAAATCAGATTTTACTCTTGAGGTGCCCATACACTGCACGATTATCGTACGATAATCGTATGCGATCGGTTTTTCGTACGATAATCGAGCAGTGTGAACGGAGACGTGCAACCGTTTCTACTGTACGGTCGCACGTCTTCTGTCGAACCAGCATGTTCGAAAACCTGCCGGGAATCGTACGATTCTCGGCTGGTTAGAACGGTGCTCGGAAGACAAATGCCGAACGGGCCGGTGTGCGCACGCGCACACTGCCCGTTCAGCATTGCGGTCATCGGAAGCCCGCCCCTCAGGGGGCGGGCTTGCGATGATCGAGAGTGCGATCTGCCTGTCCAAGATAGGCAGATCGTACGTTTTTTTTAATCCCTGTACAACCATCACAAGACTAAAGTCTTGCGATGGTTGTAGAGTGTATGGCCACCTTTACAGTGTTAACAATGGTTATGTTTAGTCCTCCTTGAAAGCAGATCTCCAGGATTTTCAAAAGTTAACCCTTGCAGTGGGGCTACCCCCACACTACAAGGGTTAACTGCTCATTAAATGGAATAAAGAAGATACCCTTACCCAATCCTCAATCCTGCAGTGGTGAACACTCAACTCTCTTCCCCTCCGCTCTGGCTGTGGAATGTCCCTTGTTGTCCTCATGTCTAATGTAAGTGAATGGACCTTGCATATACATGATGATGTCAGCGGGCCTTAGACCACCAGTGAAAGGGAGAGAAGAGGCTGCAGGGACCGTTCTAGCAGCCAGGCAGGACCGAGCATCAGGTAATTATATTTTCTTTATTTGCGCCCCTAGACCAAAACGAGCACTTAACCCTTGCTGTGTGGGGGTAGCCGCACTCCAAGGGTTAACTTTTGAAAATCCTAAGTTCCTCTTTAAGTTGAATCCAATATTAATGATTACAATAACACATGTAACAATGTAATGTATTTTTCTGAAGCTGCATCAGTCGTTCGTGACGCCACCGGGAGCATCAATGACACAATCACATCTGCCATGAGCTGCAATGGGTCCGCCGCCTGCCAACTCGGCTATGATTTCTCTGTTTGTGACACTCAGAAATGTAACTTTGGGCTGATGAATAACATGCAGGTATGTATTGATCATTCTGATCTGCTATAACAATGCACATTGTACGAGGCATAAAACATAATGGGGTGTTTTACTGCGTAATTTCATTATTGCCAATAACTTTCTGTTTAGCTTCTGTGCCTGTAGGTCAATATAATTCATAGCAGCAAAACAGTTTAGATTAATTTCCTCAATAAGCAATGATGTGAAATGTTACTGCTAACTGTTTCCATGCTGAAGAGGGAGGTTAGGCAAGGTGTAGCTTAATAAGGGTCATCAGTAAAGTTGCCCCAGTTGGAGCTTTGCTGATTTAGCGCAGTCTGAGGACAGCTTCCTTTTAGTGAAATTCCACTTCTCTGACCTTAAAAATACATTATGAGAACTAGAAAGCTGTAATCTCCAAAAAAGCACTCACCAGTCCTTTGGCGGCCGCTATGTGGCCCGGGGCACAGGGGAGCCCGGCCAGGACATCCTCCTGATGCCGTGCGGGCCACCTGGTCGCTATGGCATCTCAGGCTGCTGGCAGTCACTGGCGGCTGTGAGGAGGAGCGCACCGCTATTCACATCACTGACATCCTGTCAGTGATGTGTGCAGGGGCGCGTTCCTCCTCACAGCCGCTACTGAGACGGTAACAACCAGCAGCTTCGGAGGAGGTGGCTGGGCCCATCATCGGCAGGGATGGAGGAGGCGGGGCCCAGCAATGGAGGAGGTGGAGCCCGGTGATTGATGAGGCCGGGCCCATTGACGGAGGAGGTGGGGCCTGCCAGCAACGGTGGAGGAGAAGGAGGCGGACAGAGGATTGAGGCTGACAGGTAAGAGGGCTTGACCGCCCACCTGGGACCCTGCAGAGCCCACTATAGAGAGTATATGGTGGGCTCTGCAGGGTCACCCTCGGGTAAGCTGTTTGGGTTATCAAGTGGGTGTAACTAGAAATCACAGGGCCCCATACAAATTTTGCTATGGCGCCCTGTGATTTCTAGTTACGCCCCTGGAGTAGCCAATGTAGAAGATATACCCAATTCTCCTATACTACGTACAAGAAATCCAAAAAATGTCTCTGCAGCACCTTGTGACTTTTATTCACATAAATAGCATATGCAATTTACAAAACATGCAATATACTTTGTACTCATAGGCATGCACAGGGGGTGTGCCCAGTGTACCTGGGCACACCCTAATAACCCCCAGCACAACACAAAAACTGAGATTTTAGTCACTGAGCTGGGGGGGGGGGATCACAAAGATCTCTCTGTGACTGGCTCTGCAATACAGAGTGCAGCGGCACTTGCCACTTACATTCCTCACATAACAGCCGCAGTCCTCCGTGCCTGGGAAGCTGGGAGTGTGTGTGTGTGTGTGTGTGTGTCCTAATGCAATAGGCTGCACATTTTTCTACTTATATTGTAACAGGATTTTCCTTATTTCTTTATCCTTCTTTAGGTGATGAGTATGGTTTCTGGATTTGGCCCTCTGATTATTGCTGGAATTTTTTCGGCCACTCTTTCTTCGGCATTGGCCTCTCTAGTTAGCGCTCCCAAAGTATTTCAGGTATGAGAAAAACCTTTAGCTGACATTCTGCTTGTCTCTGGGCCATATTTATTTTATAAAGATGCACTTTAAGTGTGCACTGTTTCATATGAGGTCCACACATTCACTCAGAATAACCTCAGAGCTCTGTCTACATAGGGCTGGAATGTTGAAAAGTACAAATCTACATATAGAACTGTTGTTTGTAAGCTGTCCTGCAGGCCATCTGCTGGACACAAGTGGTAATGCTGCACTTATTTTGAATGAATATTAGCATTTCATGGGAATTTTGTGGCTCTTCTAAAATGCTTTGCTGTACCCTAATGAATCTAGTTTCACAAAATTACACTTACCAGGTATAATGTAGTTACTTTTTTTGTGATTCATTACAAAAACATTCTCAGTCATTTGAAAGTCTGCACATCTGTGGTCATTTTTGGGTGGGCTTTAAAACGTCTTAATACTGAACTGAATACTGGTTATATTATGAGGCTGATTTACTAAAGCTGATTAAAATCTTAATCCAAAAAGTAAAATGTGTACGGTAATGGTTATCTTTGATTAGTTTCGGGGACCCTTACGTCTGTTTAATTCAATTCTGAATATAGGCTATACTTTTAGCACATGATTAACGACATCGGGGACGGAGTACACAGCAATATCTCAGTGTTTGCTGACGATACCAAAATTGGGAGGGTAATAGAAACAGACCAAGATAGTGTAACATTGCAGGAGGACCTGGATAAAATAGGGGAGTGGGCAACTATGTGGCAGATGAGGTTTAATGTCGATAAATGCAAAGTTATGCACTTTGGGAGGAATAATAGGCAAATGGGTTATACAATTATGGGTATGCCGCTAGGGAAGTCGGAAATGGAGAAAGATTTGGGGGTCATTGTAGACCACGAACTGAATAATAAATTACAGTGTCAGGTTGCTGTAAGCAAAGCTAGTAGAATCTTGTCCTGCATCAAGAAGGGAATATTTTGCAGGGATAGGTCTATAATTATTCCACTTTACACATCAATGGTTCGGCCCCACCTGGAGTATGCGGTGCAGTTTTGGGCACCGGTCCACAGAAAGGATGTTCTTGAACTGGAGAAAGTTCAGCGGAGGGCGACCAAACTCATAAAGGGGATGGAGGACCAGAACTATGAGACGCGGCTACTAAATTTAACTACCTCCGGGCCGGCCGTAGTAAAAAAACGGCATAGTCATAGCAACATTAGCAACAAACTCTTTGAGATTAATTCCGTAACAAAGACTAGTGGACACCACCTAAAACTGGTAGAAAAAAAATTCGAACACAAGGGGCGTAGGGGGTTCTTCTCAGTTTGCGTGGTTAGGGTCTGGAACTCACTGCCTCAAGCGGTAATTTCCGCAATTAATCTGGAATCATTCAAGAGGCTTTTGGACGACTTCCTGAGAGACCGAAATGCACAAGGGTACAGGTACTCTTAAGAATGAGAACACTCATGGACCTATACACACACACACACACACACACACACACACACAACAGGTTGGACTTGATGGACTTATGTCTTTATTCAACCTGAAATACTATGTAACTATATATAAATCACAGTATATCATAAATAAAACAATGTTTAGTAAGTACAATTGCAATGAAGTTGGAATTACTGCATTAATGGCTCCTAAAACATAGTTGGATCCTCTCTTAATAAACATTTAAACGAGAAGTACAGGAAGAGTAGAACATACTTAGAGCTGGTGTGGGATGCTGCAGATGTCTGGATGCTGGATGTGCCTACAGTTTTTACTTTAGCAGTATCCATTCCACTTGTAGGCAGCAGTATAACCCAAAGGTTAAAAAGTTCCTGTGTTCCTCAATGGACAAAAAATAAAATGATGTTAATAAGATGAAAGCATCGTTCTTCAAAAAAACTTTGAAGGGTATCTTAGGTTTAAGAAATAATTATCTTAAAGTTCCACAATGCATTTTGTGGATGGAGACAAACAGTTGAGCATCTTTTAGAAACACACAACGCTATAATTGAAGAATAAAACAATGCACACCAGAACCAAAATTTCATTCAAAATTGTGAAACATGGTAAAGAAAAGTATCATAGTTTGGGGCTGCTTTGCTGCTGGAATTCCTAGACGTCTTGCTATCATAGAAGGAACAGTGAACTCAAAATTGTATTGTAAGAAAGTTTGCAGGAGAATATCAAGGTAAAGGTCCATAGTCTGAACCACTACAGAAGTCTGTTTAGCAGCTACAGAAAATATTTAGCTGCTAAGACAGTTTCTACCGGTTTGTACATTTCACGGACCACTTATTTTGCCAAGCTTGATCATGAATGTTTAACATATGAGGCTTATTTACTTAATAGTTGAGACTCTTCACTGACAAAATTGTGTAAATATTTACTTTAATTATCCAACAATGTGAGCAGCATATATGCACATAATTGTGTATGCAAAGTGAACAGAAATGTGAGTTTTACATGACTGGATAAATGATCTGAATATTCACACTTTTTTTGAGGAAAGATTATCTTTAGTAAATTGGCCCATATGCATTCAAATATACCAAGGGTCTCCAACTTTTTAGTACAAGGGCCTCACTATATATTTTTAAAAAATTCACAATCCGAAAAAATTATTAATGAATGAATAAAAGTTTATTAAATTAATACGTCCCTCCTCACATACAAGAGTACCCAGCAGTGCCCCTCCTTACATCCAGGAGTGCCCAGCAGAGTCCCCGCTGACATCCATGTGTGCCCAGCAGAGTCTTTGCCCTTACCTTTCAGGAAACAGAGCAGCATGGCGGAAGTTGAGAGGTGGAACAGATGTGGACAGAGGAAGTGCAGTCCTCCTGTAAATGCTGGGGGTAAAACGATCACATCATTGGTTGCTAAGATGCCAGTGGTCCTGGCAACTAACCACAGCAGGGGTGGGGTCAGGCATTTTCTGCACTGGAGACTGGGGGAGGGTCACTGCTAGCTGGTTGAGAGTGAAAGAGCCAGTCCCCGTATTAGAGTGAACAGACCAGAACATATTCTGCCAGCCAGCTGGGGATTTCTACAAGCCAGATAAAATCTTGTAGGGGGTCAGATGTGGCCCACGGGCCATAGTTTGGAGAATACTGAATTATGCCATTGAATGTGTGTTATTAGATGAAGCATTTTGAGTTTGTCTATTATTGCAACCAGATCACACGTTTGGAGCAATGTATGCAGAAATGCAGGAACTCCCAAGGCATTCACAGACTTCAAGTATTCAAAATACTTGCATGCACTTGAAAAAGCTAGACAAAATAAAGTACATTATTTAATACATTTTAGAAGCACTAATGTAGGCTATATCATAGCTCAGCTCTTTACAAGTCCAAATGTAACAATTAATAATTATAATTGAACAGCATGATAACTTCTTTTTACTGGATCCATCAAAGCTAATAAGACCCTTCAGCTAAGAACTCCTGAAAAAGAAATTATCTGTATTTTGCAACAATGCTAGATATACAAATGTGTACGGTTGGAGATCATTTCTGAAATGGATTATAATTGAATGAATTTGATCTCTTTACAATTGTGTATATTATTACTCTTTAATTTCACGCAGTCGGTTTAAGGAAATTAGCATGCGAACAATAAAGGTGTTGAGCAGAGGTGGTGTAGACGTAGAAAATGTAGACCTTAATGGCATGAAAGGGGCATTCAGGTGATGGGTTAATGACATGTTATATTAGTTTTAAAAGGCTGAAAAAAGGCACTTGTGCCACAATCGACACCACTGAAGCCCTTTCAAATTACACAAGATGTTAACAATTTTATACTGCATCTTCAAAAGGTGCAGTCTAAATGATTATCTGGTTAAATATTATATGGCAGATCCAATAAAATTTAACGCAGTCTATGATGGCAGTCTTTTTGTAATCAGTTCAAGGCAGTAAATCATCTTTGTGATGAAAGATCATATAGTGGATTGGAACATTTTTACTGCTAAGAAATAAGTTAAGTGCGTTTATTGATTTCTCCACAGGCTCTCTGCAAGGATAACATTTACACAGCACTTCACTTTTTCGCTAAAGGACACGGGAAAAACAACGAGCCTATCAGAGGATACGTTCTTACCTTTGTGATTGCAGTGGCCTTTATCCTGATTGGTTAGTTATGCTACTTTTAAAACTATGGGCAAAGTTACAAATTGGCTTATAAAAGCCTGTCAGTAGAAATAACACAGTATTTTTTTCCAATGCATAGAAATAAAGCACAGCTCCTTCATGGCTTTTGCAGGGGAAGGACAGCTGGGTGCTTGCCGGCAGGAGTGTGTTCTCGCTTCAACCAAGCAGGTATATAGTAACAGAAAAATCCAGCCACACTCCATTCCATGCTGAATTCAATTGAAAGTTGATCAGTGACACTGAGTCCTGCCCGAGGTCTGAACCCTTTCAGTTGTTTCACCCAATCCTGTGCTTAGTCGTAGAGATGGGGTTGGACCTAGGTAGTCTACATTCATATTAGAAAATGAATTTCAAACTATCCTGCTGCATTTTGTACCAAATACTACTACATTTCATTTATACTAGCATTAAATAATCACAGCGGCAATAACACACAGTGATACAGCAGAATATAAATCACAGCATTTATATATAAGCCAGTATTTAGCTAAACCAATTATACTATAAAACCAACAAATCTTATTAGAACACTTAAAAACATATTAGCATAAAACCATCCGTAACATCTAAAAACATAGATAAAAGAACCCGAGGATCAGGATATAAGCTTAAGACTATAGTAGGTGTGATTAGATCCATATTTGTGCCCTCAAATGGTTTTCTAAATGCATATATACTGTATGTATCCAATGGTTTCCAAAGGCTCTATTTGCTAGTATAAATGTAGCCTACCTAGATCTACCCTCATCTCAATGTCTAAGCCCAGGATTGGGTGAAACAAGTCAGAGAGGGTGGACCTCGGGCAGGACTCGATGTCGCTGATGACCTTTCAATAAACCGAATTAGTGTGGAACGGAGTGCAGCCAGATAGTTCCTATACTATAACACAGTATTATTGTTTATCCGAGTCCCCTGTAACATCATTTTACCAGGATCCTGCCAGTAGATCCATTCATTTTCAACTTCCTTCAGTAGCGTGACAACTCTACTGCTCTGCAAAAAAATCACTGCAGCATTTTGACCCTGGGAGCATATAGTCTCCTTTGAATGCCACTATAATAAGGTTGATAGGCCAAAGGGAAGAGTAGATATGGAGCTCTGACATATAGTCAAAGCAGTCGTTTTTTACTCAAGATTGTAAAGAACCCTGTATGCAATTCACTTGGGATTTCTACAGATATGCAATGTTTTAAGAAAAGAGGGGGCTGATAAAAAAAAAATCTCAAATAAAATAGATTGTATAGATATGTTGATGTTTAATATGTGATTACACTGGTAGATTTTATTTAATAAGGCTGAGCAAAGAACAATGATGGCATGAAAATTGCACTTTGCCTTAATAAATAAACCTTATACTATCTGTGCTGGATATATAAACTGTAATTTGTGCATGTAGTTTTAGGAGGAGAGTGTCTGGTTCAAGAATCATGGAGCCTGCACACATTTTTGAAGACAAAGGAATCTGCAGTTGAACGTGCATAAACGAGGCAGGGTGCATTTATACAGTGCAAACCACCCATTAAAGAATTCTGGATAGTGGCCCTGTTAAAATACAACAACCATTTATTCTGGCCTACCTGCTCCAGAACACCTGTACATGATAAAGAAATACTTACCTTCCCTAAAGAAATGCTGTGGAACTGGTCACATGATCACAGCAGAAGTGGAAGATCAATGCTCTTGAAGAGCTGCTGACTGGTTGGTTGGTGTTTGGTCATGTGACTGGCACTGACGCAATTCCTTTGGATTAGGTAGATATTTAAGTGCAACCTTTGCTATGTATGAGTATATTGGGGCTAGAAGGACAGGATGGGGGAGGTTCTTTACACTGTAGATTTTCATTAATAAGTACTTATAACACAATTCTAATCTTCTCAGTTTTCTAAAGTACCAGAATACTCAAATTGAGTTAAATACGTTTTTACAGAAGTGAACTCTTAACTGTATTTCCCTCGGAGGAGCAAAACACAGGGAATAACTTGCTCTGCTATCCCCCTGTTTTTACACTCGACATACAACCAGGTCTGGCCTGCCTCTGCAGTTAACACCCCTTATTTTTAGTTACTAGTCAGCTTGGAAAATAAATAGTTGATTTTAAAATCAAAGTAATCAAGTGAAAAACTGTCGGCCAAACAGAGATTGCATTCTTTCAGATGCAATCACTGTTCAAGTATTCAGGCCACCGTGGGTACCGATGGCTGTCAAAATACAATAGCTGGCAGAGCAGATTCCTCAATGTATGTTGTTAAGCATGGATGGGGGCAATCGAGTGATTTCTCAAATACCCATACTCAGCCAAAACTCTTTTACAGATCTATGACAGCATTTGCTTACGGAAACAGTGATGATGCTGTAAAAGATTCTAACAAAACAGAAGTATTTTGTAAACTGTTTATATAGAGCAAACTGTTGGCGCTGTATAAATCCTTTATAAAAATGACAATAATTATATTTCGGTGAACATCTCTATGATCAGGGACAATAATAAGGATGAACAGCAGATACATTTTATGGCATGATACTAAGAAGGAAGATATTAAGGGGTGCTCTTGTTGCACACAAGATTATTATTATGACAAAATCTGGTGTTAGGGCCCATCTATATAAAGTACATTAAGAGATTATTAGAACTTGTAAAGTTAGCTAAGGGAATGTTCACTTAGCTTAGTAAATAAGGTAAAGCTGATTTGAATATCTCGTCATGTGCAAATTAAATATAAAACAGGATTTTTGATTGCACATAATTGGATGACTGAAGTGAGCACAACTGTACCTTTTTCACTTGACCAGGTGAACATTGACTTTGCAAAATTAACATTTAATTTGCTAAGTGAACAATCAACCCCAACGAGTTTACAGTGGCCTTGGTGTGAATCACATGCTATACTGTACACAGAGTGCTATATTTAACATGTTTTTTTTTGTTTTTTTTACAGCTGAGCTGAATACCATTGCCCCCATCATCTCTAATTTTTTCTTAGCCTCTTATGCTCTGATCAATTTCTCCTGCTTCCATGCTTCATATGCAAAATCTCCAGGTCAGTATAATCAATATGTGCATGATTGGCCATTAGTTTTACTGTGCCTTGTACAAAATGTTACTAAGGCTGACCCTAAGCTAAAAAAGAGGAAACACAAACCTTGCCAACTGTCCTTGTAAGCATTTCTACTAAAGTTCATATTTCTCTTCAGTGATGGTCTTTTTCAAGCTTGTGTCCCTCATGCAGTAGCATGAGGGACACAATGCTCTGTGTCCCTCATGATCTGTAAATCAAACAGATTTGATTTACTCTGATGTAAAATTAGATGATGAAGTCAACTTGTGTTCACATTAGACATCCAATCATATGAAGAAGTTGTACAACTGTTTGCCTCACTATAGTAAATCAGGCTCAAGATCATTTCAATGTATTGTACTTCAGTTCACTTCACCGCACTTCATACTATAGTAAATCATGTTCCAAATCACCTCAATTTATTGTACTTCAGTTCACTTCACTGCACTTCATACTATAGTAAATCAGATCCCATGTGTACCTCATGCTGCTGGCTTCTGACTTACAGCTGACAATGGTACATAACCTTGCACTGTGCAGTACAGTTTTGCTTCAACCAGAGATAGAGACTGATACTAATGAATCATAGGATAACCAGGTTCCAGTGTACTGAGCTAGTGGAAAGAAAGAGTATAAGTAGGTGGTGAGGATAAAGCCTCACCAGATGAAGCTGGAGCACCTTACTGGAAGTATCTAGTGTATGTCATATAAGAGGGTGTAAATCTAGCTGTGAGTGCTTCACACAAGAAGAAGCCCTTTATGACTACACATGCCACATGTAGATAGGCACACATTGATACAGTGTTTCTTTTGGCCCCAAGATGTTAACTGTCTTTTGATTTCCTGTTGGCACTAGTGGAAATAAAAAAACATGCTTTGGACTCCTGAGATATATGTTTGGTGCTCTTATTGGCTCAACTATACTTGGACTTCTCAACTTTGGTGACCCCGCTACTCTGTGAGTGGCCCTCAATTTGTGGAGAGCTGCTAAACCCAAGCTAGAAGGCTCAAATAATAATGATTTTCTGTTGGCCATTTCCCTGATATAGACTTTTCTGATGTCTCAATTATTGTCTGTGTACTCTTAGGGAAATTTCTACACAATTCGTATCCTGGTGGCAAATGGTAATCAGGACAGGAGATAAACTGGTATCTTCCCAAGGAATACGCACAAGCACAAGGTATTCTTAAAGAAGTCATGCAGTATCAGTGGGCATTAATTTCGTTCAAAGACCTTGATGCTTCTCACACCTCTAATGCTTACTCATCAGAACAGGAGACCTTATGAATAAGCCCTAGAAGTATGAAATGCATCAAGGTTCTTTGCATGACGCTGTTAATACGCGTTGCTTTTTGAACCAAATAAACACCCGCTGTTACCACAAGACTCATTTGAGGATTGCTCGTGTTTGTGTGCACTCTTTGGATGAGTGACAGCTGGCTCTGCCTATCTAGAGGCAGAGCCAGCTGTGCCTGCCCCCTCCCCCATCTGTTCCTCCACGCAGAACTGGAGGATCGAAGAGGGGAGGGGGGAATCCCTGTGGGGAGCGCTGACTGGTATTTACCGCTCACTACATGGAGATGTTTGTGAAGTGAGCGGATCGGCGGCATGCTTCTGCTCACTTCCTGATCGATAGAGCCGACCTGTGACAGCTTCTTTGTCACAGGTCGGCTCTACCTATGAGGATGAGTGGAAATCATTAACCTTGTAGTTCTCCTTTAAATGTAAATAAGGCAGGACTGCCAGCTCTCCCTTGTGGCAGTAGTGATTTTTTAAAGTCTTTCTGGAACTCTTCCCAGTGGGAACAAAGACAGCAATAAAAATCTTGTCAGAAACTCTAAGCATTCTCTATGCTTTCCAAAACTAAAGAGAACATTTTGGGCTGGAGTTCCTGTCTTAGCTGTAACAAATACTGTACCTTACTGCTGTATGAAGGAAACACATTGTCAGCTACAAGAGCACTAAATGTCCAGAGAAGGCCTCCACAGTTTTACATTAGATTAAAAAAGATAGAAATATGACAACTATATCCCAGATTACTTCTGGGTATTTAGTTTTATAGTGCTAAATAAAATAAAAAAGAATCAGTAAAAACACTACATGCTACACAAAACACTATACAAATGATACATCAAATGTTAATGAGCACAAAGGGGACACTAACTCTCACAAACTCATAAAATAAATAATGGCATTGCACGAGCAGTAGTCAGCACAGGGAGCTGCCATTATCTAGCATTTTGCTGAACCTTGAGTGTTTATAGAATATGTAATGACAAGAATGCCAATACTCTTCTTACAAGTCGTATCTCTAAAAACGCACATTTCTGCATCTTTTTATTGATTAGCCATATGAAATTATGACACAGTATTAACTAAGCCAGAAATACTATCCTAATATTTAATGGTGATATTGGCAAGAAACAAGCAGCTTATGGATAAAGGTGATTTAAAAAGACATTTGTTTGCAGTGTTTAATAAACCGCTCTACGGCCCAGGTTTTTATGGCACCAAAAATTGTGTTTTCCAAGATTTTGATTTGGTATTTTACATCCCTACATATAAGTACTTCCTACTTTTTTTATTTAATATTTACCAACAATCTATGATATGTTTCTTTTTGAAAGTAGCAGTATTTTACTGAATTTTGTGGAAATTAGTTACAACTGTGTTTTTTACACATACACCAAAGGAATACCTTCAGCATAACCTTGACATGACTGAGTACCACCTCTCAACCTGCAATCTGTAAGCAACAAATCAGATTTCAAGGGACTGTAGCCAGTCATCAGCAGAATTCCAGTTGGTTCAAAAGCATTATTGCATTGGGCATATTGGGTTTTTTTTCATTTCTAGATGCAAAACTTTATTATACTATATAAAATGCTTTATTTTAACACACATATGTAGTTTTGTTCTTTGATAGTGTGCAATACACAATCCTATACTAAAATGCTTTTCTGTTTACACAGGGTGGCGACCTGCATTTAAATATTACAACATGTGGGTGTCTTTGTTTGGAGCCATGCTCTGTTGTGGTGTGATGTTCGTCATCAACTGGTGGGCAGCTGTCATCACATATGGCATAGAGCTTTTTCTGTATATTTATGTGACATACAAGAAACCAGGTATGAAAAAACAAAAAAGTGCCAACTCTAATACAAGTGTTAAGGCTACAAATATGTGCCAAATTGTTTGGTGGAGTGTACCATACTGTGGAACCTGCATCTGCAACTTACTAGGTCATGCAAAGTCATAAGATAGCTAATGATAAGCCTTTCCTCTCCCACATTGAAAACAATTGGGCTGGTTTCACGCTGTTGCACTCCCGTTTTGCAGACGTGTTAGCATTACTGCAACATGCATTTTTCGTATTGGGGTGCTACGGTACTGTTCATTCTTATTGGAACCCTAACCCACCTTGCTAATGGATGTGCATTGCAGCCCACCACGATGCACGGTAATGCACTACCATGTCTTGTGATATGCTACATTACAAAAAATATTACATGCACATTTTTTGGTGCATTAGGGTGCCTATTAAAATGAATGGGCTGTCTTGATACAATGCATGTCAACGCACTCCAACAGTGTGAAACGAGCCTTAGAGTTCTATCCTGAAATACACATTCTATCTAAACCTTACACTTGACTTCTGAATTTGGGAACTATCCCAGACAGTTGGAAAGCTTGCATTAGCAGATCCTGCAGCTACAGTAATATTCTAAATAACTGCAAGTTAGAAGTAATTTAGTGTTACCTATCGCTTCTAAGTTGTGTTAGCAATTCTAACTGTAGAAGCTGGACAGTCACAGATATGATCATGGATCAAATAGATATCAGACATTAGCATACAGTCTGACCTCTGGATCTTGAGATACCCAAAAGACACAAAGACTTAAGTGTGTTTATCCTACAATCCTGTGTGTCCAACAAACATCCTTGGCACCCACATTATCTCAAAGAATTTCTCTGCCTGACTCCAAATTAATTGTGCCAAAAGACACCCCCCACCTCACCCCAAAGATGTATGGGCCAGGGATGACTTCTGCATGCTGAGGTCACCCATAGATGACACAAAGGGTGCCCAGTCTTGCCAAAGTTATCAGAAGTGGCTAATATCTATGTGTTTCTTCAGACAGCACTTGCTTGCATCACATCTCCTAGAAAGTGTATCTAATGTGCTACAGTGTAGATAGAGAGGTAAAATATTTGGTTGCTGATGAGGCATCTCATTGGGTCAGGTTGGGGGAGGACGGCAGGTGTGTCTGCCACCCCCATTCTGACCAGAGCAACCCAGGTTGCTATCTCTTAGCAACCCATGGATACTCTGGCCTCGTACCCAGCATACTGATATCACTGGTTGCCAGGAGCTGAGCAGGACATTCTGGCTGGCATCCCACCCAGCTCCTGGCAACCAGTGACGCCAGTGAGCTGGGTGGGATGCCGGAAATAAATAACTTGCAGTGCGCC